AACCCTGCAGCCCAATGGCATCAATGTGGATTTCACAAGTTTCAAAATCTCCCCTCCCCCCACCGCATCCCAAAACCAGTCCAACTCGTCCCTGCCTCCCTAACCTGTTCTTCCTCCCACCTCAAGCCGCACCTCCATCTCCTACTGACCAACCTCATCCCGCCCCCTTGACCTGTCCGTCCTCCCTGGACTGACCTATCCCCTTCCTAACTCCCTACCTACACTCACCTTTCCTGGCCCCATCCCCGCCTCTTCGACCTGTTTGTTTCCTCTCCACCTATCCTCTCCTCTATCCCTCTTCTATCCGCCTCCCACTCTCTCCCTATTTATTTCAAAACCCCCTTCCCCTCCCCCTGTTCTGATGAAGGGTCTAGGCCCGAAACGTCAGCCTCTCTGCTCCTATGATGCTGCTTGGCCTGCTGTGTTCATCCAGCCCTGCACCTTGTTGTCTCGGATTCTCCAGCATCTGCAGTTCCTACTATCTCTGATTCGGCAACAAGTTTCTGGGTGCTTTTAATAGAAAACCACTGAAAACCATGCTGATGCAAACTAATGAAATTCATTGACTATTTACAGTAAATACAGAGACAGACTTTAACAGGACTCTATTAGAAAATTCTTTCCTCAGGTTCCAGTTACATACAATCTGACATCATCTGATATTACTGATGATACATGCTAAGAATGAGCATAAAAGCTATTAATCCCCTACATTACAGTCTGGAGAAATGGAACAGATTATTGAGCTAGATTTTCCTGTTTCAGATCCCTGATGGACAATGTATGTGTGCAGACATTGGATAATGTTAAGCTCATTCTTAGTTGTAAAGCCTCCTGCAGTCTGCCAAAGTTCACCATCAAAATTCATATAAAAGGCTCCTGAGGCATTATCTTTCTCAGAATATCAAATACAGGAATATTTAATGGGCTCTTTTCTGTTCAATCTTCCTGCATTTGTAGTACCATGTTAATCCAATAGCCCCCAGTGCATGACAGATGGAGTTATAGAGTCATACAACATGGAAACAGACCCTTCGGCCCAATTTGTCTATGCTGACCAGGTTTCCTAAATTAAACTAATCCCATTTGCCTGTGTTTGGCCCATATCCCGCTAAACCTTTCCTGTCCAAATGTCTTTTAAATATTGTAACTTTACTTATCTCTATCACTTCTTCTGGCAGCTTGTTCCATACATGCAAAACCCTTGGTGTGAAAAAAGTTGCTCCTCAGGTCGCTTTTAAATCTTTCCCCTCTGACCTTAAACCTGTGCCCTCTGGACATGGACTGTCCCACCCTGAGGAAAAGACCTTGACTATTCACCTGATCTATGCCCCTCATCATTTTATAAACTTCTATAAAGGTCATCCTTCAGCCTCCTACACTCCAAGGAAAAAAATCCCAGCCTATCCAGCCTTTATCTTTTCGAGATCACAATAGATTGCCTCTGAGTAAGTGGTTTTGTGCCATATGTCTTGGCAAAATAGAACTCAGTTATATCTTTGTCTAAATAGTCAAAGCAAGGAAAATGCATTCATTGCATGGACAAACAGGTTGAATATAAAACTGCAGATTTTTCTAATATGTAATTGCTGGGCAGTAAGAGGGGGTACAGATTTCTGGCCTGGAATATGTCGGCAAGAAGGTTGCAGTATCTATCATTACTATCCATAGCTCTAGGCTACAACAAGCAAGTAAAAGTGCACATTGCCACAGCAACTCAGATTTCTTGAGTGATTCCCAACAAATCACCAGCACCGAAGGCATGAAAGAGACTGGAATTGGAGAACTCACTATCATAAACGTAATTGTGGATTTCTGCTTAGTGAATGAAGTAGCAGCCATTTACTCATTAGAAATAGGCTTTCTTTTGCAAATAGCAAAACAAGAAGCCAACTGCAATGTCCCAGGTTAACCAGTGCCGTGGTCGTTGCTGTTCTTTGATTTGGTGTAATTAGCAGCAGCATTAAGGCTTTATTGAACAGTAAGCTTTACTATGTATTTTAAACATTGTTCCTTGCATCTGTCATCTCCACTCAGGCAATACAAAAAACAATTCAAAGCAGCTGAGTTACAGGCACCTCGTAGATTATATTTCAATGTAATATTCTAACAAGTGCTATAAGGAATTCTTTCATCTATTATTATTTATGTCTTTCATGTAACTACACACAGTAGTAAGACATATCTGGCATGACATACTTAATTTAGTTTTCAAAAATGGCTGACAGCAGAATGACGCTACTGACAATGCTGGGCTTTAGAGAAAAGAAATAAGACATATATAATATAAAAAGTGATATGGTCTTCTACACTTTCCATGTATTGGATCTCTGAAGCATGATAGTCTAAAGAGACATTGAATCAAAGCCAAAATACAACATATACTTCTGTCCGCTAGGGACTATATTGAGATTTCTACAAATCAACTCACTGTTATTCCTAACAGTTGTCAGCAAAACAAGAACTTAAATTTCCAACTCTTGGCTTGATCAGATTCCAAATCTCCTGAGACAGTTGGGGAGAAGAGTAATGTGTTAGGCAGCTGCACCACTGCATACTAACTCAGCATTTGCCAAGTTGTAAAATTTTAACAAAGCAAATATTTCCTGATATATAAAATCAGCTCCAAAAAAAAACGAGAAGTATCACTATTTTACATCTCTAGTTTGAAAGCCAAACAGGTTTGAAAAGTGGAAGGAGTTTCACACCAAGGACCATACAAATCCTTGATCATTCTAACAATAAATGTATTTTAAATAGTTATTAAAGGCAAAGTGTATTGACTATATGTTTCATCAATAGTGCCTCTCAAGTCCACACCTTCATCACCTCAAGGACAACAACAGCAAACACAAGTGAACTTCACTACTTCGAATTCGCATTATCCCTGATTTGAAACTCTTACAATTGGCTCAATGTATTTCTCGGTTTCCAAGTCAAAACCATTCGGACTTGGTCATTTATCACCATTCTCTAACGTATAAATTGTGGGAATAATTTCTCAACAAGGACTGCAGTAATTTAAGTAGGCAGCCTACTGGTCACTTTCCAATGCACCACAAGGGAATGAGAAATAAATTCTGTTTTTGTCAACAAAAGCTCATGCTCTAAAACTAAACACATATAACGGGAAATTGCTTTATATCCCATGAGTGAACAGGGCCAACAACAAAGATGCTAATAGTGAATTCTTGAAAGTATTACAAGTTCAATATAATCATGCAGTTAAACTCCATGTTGGTTTTAGAATATTTGCAGCATTACAGTAGGATAAATAACATGTGCACCCCCCAATTATCTGCCAAAACTCTTTCCTAATTCCTCTAGATTTTTGACACTTCCAATTAACTGAGCCATGAGTGCCCTTGTTTGAAGATAGTAGAATCAAAGCAGGGCTTTTCCAACTGCAAATTTCTAGCTTTGCCAACAGCAATGCACTTAGTGTGATCAATTTTAATCAAGCAGCTGGTGAAGAGAGCCACAGCCTCATTAATCTCAGGCCACTGAGGTTTAGGGTGTTTGATGGGTGCTCCAAAACAATGCAGGTTCAGGAGAGAGTGTTGAGTGCAGAGTGTGATGGTCCCAGAATGCCAGCAGCCTAGGATCCTTCCATTCAAATAATTCCAAATTTACTATGACTGAGATGGTATGGTCACTCAGCGGCTGGCACTGCTGCCTCAGGTAGGGACCATATTCGATTCTAGCCTCAGGTGACTGTCTGTGTGGAGTATGCACATTCTCCCTATGTCTACATGGGTTACCTCCGGGCATTCCGGTTTCCTCCCACAGTTCAAAGATGTGCAGGTTGGATGGATTAGCCATCCTAAATTGCCCATAGTGTTCAAGGATTAGCCATGGGAAATGCAGGGTTACAGGGATAAGGTAGGAGTGAGTCTGGGTTGAATGCTCTTCGGAAGGTCTGAATGGACTGTAACCATGCTGTAGGTATTCTACGAATGGGAATAAATGGCTCATTGTGAGGTAGGAAGTCTGTGACCAATGGGACACCATTAGGAGCAGTGTTTGGTCCCCGATTGATCAGTCTATAGCAACGATTTGGATGATTGCATTTGTGAGTATGAGCATTCATAAGCTGGATATTCATAAATCCTGGACCTTCCGTAATGACAGTCATGCAAAGAAAATCAAAATCATCTTGTATTATAGGCCAGAATTTCTAAGGCATAAAATAAATAAAGAACCGATATTACGATATTTCCAAAGAAATTTTATTACAAAACTCCATAAAAACATAAATATTTTCTCACAGCTGGGTGAAAATTGTTTACAGTATTACTGCACAGAATTGCATAAAGTTTAAAGCAACCAAGATACTTCAACAATTCTGATTATTTTAAACTGTGCATTTTTTTTTTGCAAAAGGCAAACATTTGAACAAATTCGTAAGATAATTGTAAATAAATTAGAATGTCTTCCTTAAAAAAATTCTAATATGGTTGTATTTGAAAGCACCATTGTTAATTTAGTGGTACCATGAAGCTCAACAATAATAAAGTGAAAATATTACATTGAATGATAGTTTAAAAATGACACCGAATAATGTGTATACCATTAAGGAGATAGAGACAATTAGTGTAGTGCATAGAATGGATCTTCATTTTCAGGAAGGATGGTTGCCTGTGCTAAAAAGACCTTTCAGTTTGATAAATAAATAAAGCACCTTCAAATTTTGTTACATACTGACGTAATTATTATCTCCTTTCTCAAAATAGTTCATTTGTATTTGCTTCTGCAGTCTTGAATATATGTTTTGAGAGCATAATTTAATAATTAACAGTTACATGCCCTTGCATGGTGAGTCAAAAGCACCATTGAATCACTTACAGGCTAATGTTTCTTGAAAACAGTGGGTCAAAGGGCTCACTACAATGCCAAAATAGCTACAGTAGTTTTAATATAGCACAGTGTGTTTTATTTAATGGTCATCATTTTATTTAAATGAGGTAAATAAATAGATCGAGAACGTTCACTTTAGATTCCTCCCACACTTTTCCCCACTCCCACTTTTGTTTACACAGTATTTTGAATGCCTTCTGGTTTTCAAAATCTTTGCTCAGTTCATTTCACATAGCCAGATTATGTAGGTCAATAACATATAACACTTCCTTTGAAAAACTGGTATATTTTTCAATCTTGCACTTAAGTACATGGTATTGTACAGACATTGTTCATTGTTGCTTGCGAATCGAAGGATTCAAATATGGGCAGTGCTGCAAGATTTTGCTGATCTGGTGATAGTAATATATGTAAGAATAGCTCTCTTTTATCACATTGATTGACAGGTGGAATGCTGCTAGGTTTCACGTACAAGTCAGAACCTGATTAGTCTTTACCTCTTCAATCATCAGATGCAACCAAAATTACAATGTGCAGCTTCCTTATAACAAAATTAATGTATTTTGTTCATTTAATGGTTCTTTTATACATTTGACTTGGAGCACGATTTGCAGCACTGCTGGCCGTAGAACTTGTGACCACAAACACCATGCTGGGGTACCAGGTAGCACCAGTTGAAATAATCTTTGCAAAAGACATCTTCATAATTGTACATGGGAGGGAAGAGCCAAGGAAAAGAGAAACAAAAGCTTTACATTATTTGTTGTTACATGCTTGAATTCTCCCATTTCCTCTCATAGTACATCTCATTTGTAAGGAAACTAAAATGCATTGAAGGTTAACTATCAAGACAGCTAAAATTAGAATCATTTCAGTGATTGTACACCGCACACTATTATATATCCCCATTTCCCTTCGTCAAAAATATATTTGTATTATTTTACTCTTATAAATCTCCTTGTCAAATTCACTGTTCAATAGAAGACCTACTAGAAGGCAGGTAGCAATCAGGAAGGGGGAAGGCTGTGGTGACCGAGAAAAAGAGGTAATGATGATGAGTGAGAGATGGGAAGCAATTAGGAAGGGAGGTGAGCAGTGGACAATTACACCACTTGTTTTGAAAGTGCAGTCAGGAGAAAAAAAACTGTCTTACATCTCCTGAATCAACTTTCAAGGAAGCATATCATGAACATATACACTTTTGGTCATGGCCTCCAGTGGCGCCTTTAAGACTTATCACAGTTAGGCTAAATGGAGAGCACAATTTTCTGAATCATGCTGATCTGGTGCTGATTACTGTTCTAGTCACTCTGGCAATATATTCTGAGAACCCACATACAACAGATAACAGTATGACACGAGTGTTAGGTTCTGCTCAATTTGTCATATTTCAAGAATTCATGCAGGTTGAAATAGCCCAAGAATTCAATACGTAATTTCCATTGAAAGCATTTTTCAGATACTTGACAGTCAGATGCAGAGAGATGAGCAAAAGACAGCTGATGCAGCTGGACGAGGAAACTGCCGTAGAATCTTACATGAATAACCAATCATCCCATTAAATGTAAACAGGTTAGCTTGGAAGTATTATAAACATACTGTAAAAACTTGATCAATGACTGATTGACCATCAGAATATCTGCATTCAGGATCTGGCCGTAATTCAGCATAAGTTATCAGGACCTCTACCTTCAGGAAGAATGGGGCTGAATTTTACGAGGAGCCACATTCCCTGGCCTACTAAAATGTTAGTGGGAAAGTCTTGCTGAGGATAATGTTGGCTGTCCCAGTGATATCTCAATGGTCAACTATTTGCTGATAGGCTGGAGGTTGGATTTCTGCCCCTCAGAAGCAGAGGTCTGTGGTCCTTCAGCACTTTGGGATTAATGCATTCAGTAGTGGGTAGGGGTTCAGGTAATTGAATGCAGATCTTGCTGGGTTCCCACCTGGCAGGCCTCGACAAGGGGTTTTGGGGTTCAAAAGGTCAACTGGCAGTGGGAGAAGAGTGGGGGCAGGGGTTGTTAATCATAGAATTGCTACTGTGTGAAAGGAGGCCATTTAGTCTACTGTGCCACTGACCTACTACAAGAAACCTGCCACACTGAATGCTTTCAACAGACCTCTTCCTGGATGAGGCCTTCACATGGGAAATGATTGTGCATTCAAGGGCTTCAGCTGGCAGCTGGTGACCTGATGCCAACCTGCCACTAGTATTATGATGTTGGAAGCTGGGACAGACGGTTAGGTAGTGGGCAAAATGCCTGTTTGGATTTCTTGAACGCCCACTCCTGCAACAATCAAACACACTAGTAGAAGTGGTGGATGGAAAACCCAACCTATAATATCACCTTGGCAATCATCATGCCCTATAACACTGAAAGGCTGATATAGTGGACCATTAGAATTATGTATTTTAAAGAATACATCCAAAATGTTAGTGGATAAAATTGTACTGTCATTTCCAGAAGAAACAGATCTTAAAATGCTTATAGTGCCGGAAATTACTTCAGTTCTTACCTTTTTTTTCAGGCAGAGGACAGAAATTGGTATTGCATGCTTCTGTAGCGAGGGGTTTTTGGTGTAGTAGACACTCTGAGGTAGGTCTACCGTACGCAAGACAATGAACTGCACGGGCTCGCACCCCTCCCCCACAGCTAACAGAGCACTAGAAGGCAAAATATGAAAAATCATTCACTGAATACAACTGGCCTTAAGCCTGAAGAGTGGAGCTTATTCACAACAGTGTTTGACATAATCCATTGAAAATCCAATGCCACAGGGAAAGCTACTGCTTAAAGCAATCACGCAGCATTAAATGAGCAGCAAGGAAAATACCTAATTATAAACAGAATTAATCTTCAATTTACTATACTCAATCCCTGTCAGCAAACCATTACTATTCAAAAAAAATCATAACTACATTCAAAATATTTACCCAAGTGCAGTATATCTACAAATAAAGAGAATGGGCATCCGGGGCTATTGATGAATCTCCAAACAAATGTGGTTGGAGGATGTAAATGAATTTCTTATATAAAAACAACTTGTCCTCACCTCTGAATAAAGAATCCATTAATGTTGAAACTTTCAACAATTATTAAGCAAAACTGAACCTGCCTGCTCACGTTGAAACCTACGAATCTGGAATAATGTCTATCAATAGACAGACAATAAACAGGACTAAAAACAGAAGTTGCTGGAAAAGCTCAGCAGGTCTGGTAGCGTCTGTGAAGAAAAAATCAGTTACATTTTGGGTCTGGTGACCCTTCTTCACAGCCCGAAACGTTAACTCTGATTTTTTTCTTCACAGACGCTGTCAGACCTGCTGAGCTTTTTCAGCAACTTCTGTTTCTGGTCCTGTTTTATAGCATCCACACCTCTTTCGGTTTTTAATAAACAGGACCAGCCTGCTTAAAGCTTGAATATTACGTCTGGGGTTTATCTGTAATTCATGCATGCAAGACAGAGCCTCCATTAAAGCAGATTTTGGAGTCGCTAGAATGTGGAATCCAGAGTGTGGAAAATAGACCAGGTAAGATTCCTCTTTGGATCTGGTACCCTTTGGTGGCAGGTTAGGCAACTTTTGGTATTGTGGCAAGTAGACATTCTTGTGCATTAAAAGTGCATTAACACATTTTTGTAGTTTGGTCACAGAATGTGGGCATGATTGGTTAGGGCCAGCATTTATTATCCATCCCTAACTGCTGAGAGAAACTGGCAGTGAACTGCACTCTTGAATCTTTTTTGGTTCTTGGCATATCAGTACACCCACAGTGCTGTTAGGAAGGAAGTACCAGGATTTTCACCTATCAACAGTGCAATGTACCTTCAGTTAAGATGGTATATGGCTTGGAAGAGAATTGGTAGGGGGTGGAGGAGAATTGGTAGGGGGTGGTGCTCCCACACAGTAGCTGCTCTTGTACTTCTCAGTGGTAGATGTCACAGATTGGGAAGGTGCTGTTGTAGGAGCGTTGGTGAGTTATCTTAAGTGTATCTTATTGATGGTACATGCAGCCGCCAGTATGTGTCAGTGGTGAAGGGAATGAATGGTGAAGAAAGCGAATGTGGTGTCAATCAAACAGACTGCTTTGTGCTAGATGGTTTCAAGCTTTTTTAGTGGTGTTGCTGCTGTACCCCACTAGGCAAGTGGAGATTCCATCACATCCCTGACTTGTGCATTACAGATGCAGACAAGAACTGGAAGACAGGAGGTGAGTTACTTATAGAACTCCTTACTTCTGACCTTTCTAGCTCAGCTTCTGGTCAATGGCGACCTGCAGGATTTTGATAGTTGGGAATTCAGCAATGATTTAGCCATTCTGTGTTAATGGCAACAGTTGGACTTTCTCTTGTTGAAGATGAGCAGTGCCTGGCAAATGTTATTTGCCACTTGTCAGCCCAAGCCTGGATCATGTCCAAGTTTTGCTGTTCATGGCCATGGCTGCTTCAGTTTCTGAAGAATGCTGAATGGTGCTGAGCATTATGCATTAATCAGAAAACATCCCACATCTAACTTTATGAAGGAAAGGTTGTCACTGACATAGCAACTGAAGATGACTGAGTGAAAGAAACTACCCAGAGGAAATCCTAGAATGATGCCTTGGAAGTGAGATGATTGACCAACAATCATAGCTATTTTCCTTTTGTGCAAGGTATGACTCAAACCAGTAAAGAGTTTCCCCTCCGATTCACATTGATTCCTTCTTTGCTAAGGATGCTTGATGCCACACTCAGTCAAAAGCTGCCTTCAAGTTAAGGGAAGTCACTCCCATTTCACCTCTGGATTTAGCTCTTTTGTTCATTTAATAATGATTGGGACTGCTATATCTGTCAACAAACACTCAAAAGCTGTCAAAGAACTATCCAACAGAATGTGTGGTGATTGAAAAAACAGTATTTCAATGTGATAAAAAAAAGTCCTGTTACAGGATTTGTGAAGCATGACTGATTTCCCAAACATTTCCATAACAGGATGCCTATCAAGTGAACATTTTGGTAGACACTTCTAACAGTCTACAGAATGAAAATGATTGAAAATCCTTCAAACTATTACATACAGAAAATATGTATGAATATATTTTGTATCGATGTAAGCTTTTTTTTCCATTAATGACACCATTAATAGAGAAATAACGCTATTTTCTGGGCTCATGCTTCCTGTGGTTTGGCCATAGTAGATATTAGATGATTTGATGGAGGAGCAGGGGAAAAGGGTTCAAGGCACTGAGTGTCCACAGTTGGCATAGCAGCTACAAAAGCCCAGTGTGTGACTGTGACAAAAGGGTGTATGACGGACTATGGGGATGGGTAGATGGGCATAGTGTGGCATGGTGATAGGAGGAGCCATGGGTGATGGGTAGATTGGCATTGGGCAAGTTATAAATGTTATCATTTCTGACCTTAATTATATTATTTTTCAACAGTGGTAGAATAGTTTCTTTCAGCTATACTGCCACTTTTTTTTTTTTCCTTTTCTCTTCTCTAAATACCTTACAGTCTTGAATATTAAATCTTGGAGCTTACATTTTTGAAATAGGTCTTTGGTATTATAATATTGCTCCATGTGGTAACTTGTACCTGAAGTTCTTCAACCATATTTACCATGCTACATGCATTAACACAGCAAAGCAGTGCAAGCTAATCCTTGCGTGCTTCAAATTTTCCCATGAGATCCTTGCTATGTCTAAAGTATTCTTTAATCTGGTTCTATATTTCACTTTCATTCCTCTGTGCACTTCATTTCTCTCCAACGGTTTACTTAATGTTATTCATTCTTGGGATGTGAGCATCATTAGCTTGGCCAGTGTTTATTGCTCATCCTCGCTGCCCTTGAGGTGGGTGTGAGCTACCCTTTTGAGTTTCTGCAGTCCATTTGGTGTAGGTAGACCACAATGTCATTGGGGAAGAGAGTTTCATGAGTTTCATCCAGTGACAATAAAGGAATAGTGATATATTTACGAGTCAGGATAGTAAGCAGCTTGGAGGGAAAATTGAAAATTGGTGGTGTTCCCATATATCTGCTGCCTTTGTCCTTCTCAACGGTACTGGTAATGGGTTGGGAAGATGCTGTGTAAGCGTTTTTGGTGAATTTCTGTAGTGCATCTTGTAGATAATGCAGAGGTTGCTACTGCGTGTCAGTGGTTGAGAGATTGGATTTTTGTGGAAGTGTTGCCTAAAAAGTGAGCTGTTTTGTCTGGGATGGTGTCAGTCTTCTTAAATATTGTTGGAGTTGCACCTAACCAGGTAAGTGGGAGTATTCCATCACACTGCTTAATTGTGCCTTGTAGATGGTGGACAGACTTTGGGGAGTCATAAGGTGAGCTGCTCTTTGCAATATCCTATACTCTGTTCTGCTCTTGTAGCCACACTATATATATGGTTAGTCTAGTTCAGTTTCTGGTCAATGGTAACTGCTAGGATATTGGGGGATTCAGAGATAGTAACAGAATTGAATGTCAAGGGAGAGAGTTAGAATCTCACTTCTTGGAAATGTTTATTGCCTTGCACTTGTGTAGCGGAAATGTTATTTGCCATTTTTTCAGCCCACACCTGGATTTTTTCCACGTCTTGTTGCATTTGGAATCCTACAAAACTGCTTTGTATCTGAGGAGTCACGAATGGTATTGAACATCATGCAATCATTAGTAAACAACCCCACTCTTGACTTTATGATGGAAGGACAGTCATTGATGATGAAGCAACTGAAGCAGTTTGGGCGTAGGACATTACCATGGGCAACCTCTGCAGTGATGTGCTGGGGTTGAGATGACTAACCTCTAACAGCCACAACCATCTTCCTCTGTGCTAGGAATAACAACAAGTAGAGAGATCTCCACTCCTCCCTGAAACACCACTCTATCCCCCTCGACTTCCAGTCACATTTACTTTGTTAGGACTTCCTAATGCCATGTTCGGTCAAATGCAGCCTTGATTTCAAGGCCAGACACTTTCCCCTCACCTCTGGAGTTTGGCTCTTTTGCCCACATTTGAACCAAAGCTGTAATGAGGTCAGGAGCTGAGTAGCCCTGTCAGAACCAAACTGAACATCAGTGAGCGGGTTCTGGTTAAGGAAGTGCTGATTGATAGCACTGTTGATGCCATCTTACATCATGTTACTGATAATTGGGAGTAGACTAAATTGGCTGGATTGGATTTGTCCTGTTTTCTGTGTACAGAACATATTTGGGCAATTTTCCACATTGTCAGGTAAAAGTCATTTTGTAGCTGTGCTAGAACAGCTTTGCTATTGGAGCAGCAATTTCTGGATTCACTTCTTCAGTACAATTGCAGGAATAGCGGTTTATAAAATCATTAGGGGTATTGATAAGGGGAATGGCAGGTGTCTTTTCCCTAAGGTGGGGGATTTCAAACTGGGGCATATTTTCAAAGTGACAGGAGAAAGATTGGGAAAAAAAAGACGTGAGGGACAACCTTTGTATACAGAGAGTGGGTCATGTGTGGAATGAACTTCCAGAGGAAGTGGTGGATACAGGTACAGTTACAAAGCTTAAAAGACTTTTGAATAGGAAATGTATGGAGGGATAGTTAGACCGAAGGGTCTGTTTCCATGCTGTATGACACTATAACACTATGAATGTTGTCAGGGCCCATAGCCTTTACAGTATCCAGTGCCTCCAGCCATTTCTTGTTATAATGTGGACCACCTCCGGTGGCCAATTAATAGATCATAAGTGGGATTGTCGCATGATAAATGTGGTGGCTGGGCTACACAGGGACAAGGCCCAATCAAAGCACCTAAGGTTGTCAGCAGCTCCATCAGGAGAGGTGGATGCTGATGTAGGTGCAGGACCACGACTGATTTTGATGCATTTTGGCTTCAGCAGGAGGGCTGTCTGCTATCATCAATCTGCCCCAAATTGGCCACTTAGTTACTTGCCATTTCAAGGCAGTTCACAATCTCATTCCTGCAAGACTGTTTAGAGGCAGATTTGCTTTGACTAGATGACCTGATGTACAACTTTCTTAAAACTCTACCCTGCCAATGTCTCCAAAATCCCCTCTGTGCAGCTGAGAAGATTCTGCCCTTATTGATTGGTGTGCTATTGGGATTAAGGGAAATGCAAACTAGGACTAAATAACAAATTTATAGAAATGGATGAGTAATTATGAAGCTTCAATTAGCTGCTTTTCAGGCAGATTACTTGCATGGGATAGAATACATAACTGGATGAAAGCTTGATTTTTTAAATCCATTGTTTGTTCAAACAATACTGGTGTTGGGAAATTGTAGGTACTCTCCCTACAATTTTCTTCTATTAATAGAAATTCCTTGGATTCCAAAATGTTCTCACATGATGCAAACTCTTAAGACTGGCAGCATGTAATTAGGCAAACAGCCTTTATTAATCTCAATTTTGTCAGATTGTAGATGCCAAGTACAATAAACGTTCTTTGGTTACTGATTGGACACGTTAACATTAAATTCAGGTCATATTACTGTTAAATCCAGTATACTTCTAAACTCTTTTTCCTGATGCAATTGATGTTGACCATTCATATTTAAAATCTTTAAATCATACAAGGATCCATAAAATCCATAGAAAGCAAGCCTGGTGCCAGATGTTAACCTCCAATAGGGGCTAGAATCAGGGTGCAACATGCCGCACTTCTCTCAGAGGAGCAATTTTCTTCAGAGTTATAGAGTCATACAGCATAGAAACAGACCCTTCAATCTAACTAGTCCCACTTGTATGTGCTTGGCCCATATCCCTCCATACATTTCCTATTCAAAAGTCTTTTAAACTTTGTAACTGTACCTGTATCCACCACTTCCTGATCTTTTATCATTTTCATGTGGCCTTTCCATGGGTCAAGAATGCATAGTGTAAAATGCACACATCTGTTCTGAAGTTAGTTTCCCCTGTGGTCATCATATTGGGAACGCTATTTCCTTTCACACTTGCTTGTGAAAGAGCGGGCTTCTGGATACTCAAAACTAAAACTCTTTTGACTCATCATGACCATAGGGGCATGTCTGTGGAGGACTGAGGAATATTGTTTCAGAAAAGAGTAAAATGTTTTGACAACTTTTAAGATCACTATTAGAGGCTATGTTGTAACGTAGAACTGTTTTTAATGCAATGTCTCATGAAGCGATCTGACATATAAATGTAGGTTCATCACTACATTGACCAGCATTGTGTAAATGTATTGTCATGCATTACAGTACTTTTCCATTTGTCATGAGTGTCAAAATGCATTAAAATGCATTGTCATATATGTGCTATGATTTAAATTGGCTATTAAAGAAAAGCTTTACTTTTGAAAATTGAAATCAAGAAATGCTCATCAACTACTTCTCTCCACATATGGAATTATACAGCATGGAAACAGACTCTTTGGTCCAACTTGTCCACGCCGACCAGACATCGTAATCTGATCTAGTCCCATTTGCCAGCATTTGGCCCATATCTCTCTAAACTGTCCTATTCATATACCCACCCAGATGCCTCTTAAATGTTGCTCACTTCCACCACTTCCCTCTGGCAGCTCATTCCATTCACGCACCACCCTCTGTATGGAAAGAAATTGCCCCTCAGGTCCCTTTTAAATCTTTCCCCTCTCACCTTTAACCTATGCCCTCTAGTTTTGGACTCTCCCACCCTAGGAAAAAGACCTTGCTATTCACCCTGTCCATGCCCCTCATGATTTTATAAATCTCTATAAGGTCATCACTCAGCCTCCGATGCTCCAGGGAAAAAAGCCCCAGCCTATTCAGCCTCTCCCTACAGTTCAAACCCTCCAACCTTAGCAACATTGTTGTAGATCTTTTCTGCACCATCTCAAGTTTAACAACATCCTTCCTTCAGCAAGGAGACCAGAATTGTACGCAAAATTCTGAAATGGCCTCAATGTCCTTTACAGCCATAACATGTGTCCCAACTCTTATACTCAATGCACTGACCATTGAAGGCAGTCCTGCCAAACCATCCTGTCTACCTGTGACTCCACTTCCAAGGAAATAGAACCTGCACTCTAGGCCTCTTTGTTTGGCAATGCTCCCCAGGGTCCTACCATTAACTGTACAAGTCCTGGCCTGGTTTGCCTTACCAAAATGCAACACTTCACATTTATCTAAATTAAGCTCCATCTGCCACTCCTCAGCCTGTTGATCCATCTGATCAAGGTCCCCTGGTACTCTAATCTTCTTCACCATACATCGGCAGGTACTTTGCTTTGAAATAGAAATGGAACACAATTTTTCTCTATCAGTTTCAGGTAATGTAGTTCTAAGTTTGCGTTACAGCAATTGCAAACATTATGAATGCATGGCTGGATTTTAAAGCTTATGATGGCTTCAACTCAAGAGGTCTATTGATTCAAGAATGAGTGACACCTTTAAGCTGCTATAATAATAGAATATGCCTATGGTGGTGACATTTTCTTTGTCTGCAAATCGATAAGTCACCTAAAGGATTCCTTTTGGCACTACAGTTTTTCTTCGTTCTTTCCAGCATCAATGATGATGTTTTTTGAATTCGGAGTTTTATTACACTGTTAGAGATTTATTTCTTCCAATAATTTTACAATAATTATCATTGCTATTGGATGGCTCACAAGAACTATTCCAGATCATACTTGGAGAGCATGAAGATGGCATGACAGTATGTGGAGAGTGAGTGGTTTAATGAGTCTTTGAATATTGTTTGGAGCTAGGCTGCTGTGTTGGAGAATGAAGGCCAGCCTTCTATTTGTATCTGCACCTATGCTCCTCAGGCTCTCCAATAAGCCTCGCAAAGTGCAGTGTGATGCCACCTTCTCTGTGAAAAGTCAAAAATTGGAGGCAAAGTTGGTGTGCAGTTTGGTAGGTAGAAGAATGCGCAGAGAAGGTTTGTCTGAGCCAACATAAGAATTGCAGTCCTAGAGTACATTCATAATTTAATCTTAGTTTTACAGCAGTGTACTTGCAGGGGGATAGTGCAACATTACAGGAAGAAACAACTTTTTAGTATTTGGGATTAGACACTACGGAGGCATGATTTATGAAGTGCTTCACTGGTCCTCCAGCAATTTGGAATTATACTCAACGTTTTTGAATTTATTAAGCTAGTGGGCCTTCCAGATCAAGAAACGGAACTTCACCCTGAATTTGATAATTCCAAATACAGCATGACAATATAAACAATGGACCTTTGGGTAGAAATGGATATTTTGTCCTTTTTGTTCAGTGTGATTACAATCTTAATGTCAACCCTAATTATATATACCTCAAGGTTTAGACGTGTTAGTGTTGCTACGATTCTTTCTTCTATTTGGTTTTAGTTGCCAATCGTTGTACTCTATTATGAAAGTGAAATCTGAATAACGGCAGTGAAACGATTGACAGAAGCTACAATCCTTCCACTTTCTTTTTGGAAAGTATTGAACAAATACTGAAGGCATCCTGAACATCCATGCAAAATAGAGTAACTGCAATATCACCTTACCTGTGACCAAGGTGAGGCATACCAGTTTGCTAGTGCATTGCTGAAGGCCCTTTCACTTGGTGGTTTTGGACATGCACTAAGAATGCATGTTCTTTCTAGCTCCAGGTTAGGTCTTGGCAAGTGATTACATCTTTTGTAAGCAAATTCTTTGTATTTTCCAGAATTGTCTTTGTTTGCACACTTTAAGTGTCTCTTTTGAATCCCTTTACCACAAGTCACAGAACACTGGAAGACATTGCGAAAATAATAAAAAGACATTGCTTATTTTGATGAGACAACAGAAGCAATTAATGAGCACAGTGCATTATGTGACTGATATGATTTTTCAAGAATCAGCAAAATATATAGTGGAGTTTCCTTGGAGTCATACCTAAGATCATTGCTTTTTTGATACATGTTGTATGGACTTATGTGTACAGGACTCAATTTCAAAATGTACAGATTCCAGAAAACATGAAAGTTTTGAGAACTGTGAGGAGAATAGTGATACATTTCAAGAGGATAATGCAAGCTGGTAGGATAGTTGGACAAACAGCAGATTAAATTTGATGCAGAAAAGTGTGAAGTGATACTTTTGAAGGTACAATTCCAAAGTAGGCGCAGGAACAGAAAGAGTAGTGGAATATTTGCACAAATCAATGAAGGTGGCAGGGCAGGTTGAAAAAGCAGTTAAAGAGGCAAAGAGACTTTAGCTTTACAAGTAGAAGCATTGAGTACATAAGCAAGGAAGTTATAACGAGTCTTTATAAAACACTGGATTGGCCTCAACCGGAGCCTTGCAGAGTTCTAGTTTGCATCCAATTCCGGATACCTCACCTTAGGAAGGATTTGAAGACTGTAGAGAAGCTGCAGAGAAGTTTTATAGGAATGGTTCTAAGGATGAGGAACCTAATTTTTGTAGACACTTTGGAGAGGCCAGGGCTGTTTTTCTTGCAGGAAGTTAAGAAGAGATGCGATGGAGCTGCTGAAATCGTAAGGGTTTGAGATGAGGAGAAACAATTCACAATGGCAAAAGGGTTAAGAACCAGACGACACAGATTTTGATTGAGAAAAGATCCACAGGCAACGTGAGGAAACATGTGCTCAAATCTGGAAGGCACTACCAGAGTGTGGTGGAAGATGATTCAAATTGTGGCTTTGAAAATAGAATCGGTAAATACCTAAAGAGAATAAAACTGCAGGCTTACGGGAGACTTATAGGTGACACAAGCTAAACTGCTCTTGCAGGAAGCTGGCTTGATGGCTGAAATGGTTCCTTCTCTGCTTAAAGTATTCAATTATTCTGTTGCATCATTGAAACTCTGAGGTCAGATATGGTAAATTTACAAATTTGAGACTGAATCATGTCCCTGAAGCAAAATTCAACTTTGGCAGGAATGAAAACAGACGTGAAAGAGCCGCCTGTAACACACTCTGCCTCGTCCATTTTCAATAAAGTTCAGTACAAAGGAAAATAAAACAAGGTGTACAATGGAAAACTGATCAACTACTGTTCCTTATGTGCTCCCTCAAATTTGTACTTTACCCCCCATTGTTTTCTACGTATTAAAAATGGAAAATACTGGAAATGCAGAGAAGGTCTACCAGCTTCTATAAAAGTAAAGAAAGTATACTAATTTAGTGAGGATCTTCCAACATAACATTTTAAACTTTACCCATTCAAAATCTAAATCTAAACAGACAGAAATCTATGGGAGTGTGTGCTGTAATTTATATGTATGCCTCTGGCAGATAAAGCTCTTTTTCAGAACTGCAGATTTGTTAAGATTTTGTTTTGCTAATTTTCAGCATTTCTGTGTTTTCTAAGCCCCAAATCCAGAACATTTGTTGGAAAAATGGACAAGTACACTTGATTTACTGGGCATCTCATATCCCATCCCTATTTTGAAGCTTTTAATTTCATAGATTCTTCATCAGATTCATGATTAACAAGTATTCCTGATGCAATGCAAATTCTTTTTAAATTTGTTCTTTATGGGCTGGTTTTATGCAGCCAATCATGATAGGAATTATGGTGGCTGGTCTCAAGGGAATTATTCTTCTGGTGCTGGGAAAAAAAATCCCCAAATTACGTTGCTGGGTTGAAGGGGTTGTTGTATGATTCCTGTCAGCGCGATATTGCTGTTGACACTCATTATCCCTGAGCCCATCACAATTCAATTCAAGGACCACCCACATTCTTGGAAGCTTGCCCAGGCAGACCTGTGACCTAACAGCTTGATAGGCGGAGGGGCCCTCCTTCCTATCATCTGATCTGTATCCAATCTAGTAATCTGCTGTTGACAAGGGGAAAGTGCGGTTTTATCAATCCACTGCCCTCCATTCTGCACCCCACCCCACTTCATCCTGCAACATCCCCATTCCACCCTCAGTGCCCTGAAGTCTGCAGTCCCTTTCATAACCTGGGTCTCGTGTGAGTGCAATGGTGCCAGATGCCACACTCCAGCTGGCCAGATGAGGAGCTCCTGGTGTTTGACTGGCAGCTCTCATCAGGTGGACTTCTGCCACTGGACCCCTCGATCGCCAGCAAGACCTGATGGTGTCCTGAAGAGCATTTGATTCTGTCAAGCCTTTCCCCAATGGAACTGATGCTGCCCAGTGGATGAGGTCTCTATTAGCCTGATGTAATGCCAGTCTGTATGCATGAATTTATTGAAATGAGTTTGCAATGAACGTGAAGATAAGTCTGCAAATGAGATCCTTAAACATCCTTTTTTCCTATTCATTGACTTCAACGAAGTTATGGGTTGGTTTTCATCACCATCAAAAGAATTTGAGGTCCTGACTCGTCAGCAGGGCCATGCACAGCTAATTTATACTGAATTATTGTGGCATAATGTCTATCATTTTCCAACATGTGAGCTCTTGCTGGTGTTGGAAGGCCTGTCAACATTACAGATTCAACTAGAGATTCCATTCATTGGAGACCGTACATGCGCTATTCATTATGTTTTATTATTGTTGATTGTCCATTCCATCGAATAGAATCCATTGAATCCCTACAGTGTGGAAGCAGGCCATTTGGATCCTTGAGTCCACACCAACCCTCTGAAGAGCATCCCATCCAGACCCGTCCTGTTACCCCATCTTATCTGTGTAACCCATGGCTGATCCACTTAGCTTGTACCTCCCTGAAAAATTACGGGCAATTTTAGTATGGCCAATCCACCCAACTTACACATCTTGGGACTGTGGGAGGAAACTGGAGCACCCAGAGGAAACCCACGCAGACACAGGGAGAATAGACAAACTCCACACAAACAGTTGCCGGAGGGTGGAATCGGACCGGGTCCCTGGAGCTGTGAGGCAGCAGTGCTAACCACTGAGCCACCAATTATTTCCTGTTATTATTTAATCCATAAATTACTGTTGACTTTTAAACGTAACCTGGTTACTGTACCTCAGCCCATGTAGATATAAACCACTGCATTTTGCGATGTTTATGACAGCGTTTCAGCAAGCAGGTTTCTTGGGTTTTAGGTTTTGCTTTGGCCTTGCAAGCACTCCCATGTAGGATCTGAGACCTGGGAGTAGGATTTGTGCTCTTGCAAACAACAGTCCTCTTTTTCCATCCTTTTCCACATGTTCGGGAACACTACAGAGAAACAATAATGAACAATGGCTGGTTATTTCAGCTTAAAAATCATACTATTTGGCTTAAATTCAGTTTTTTTCCACAATTAACCTGCACTATCAACTTGATCGGTGTATCACTAAAAAAAAAGTCGTCGCTATTGTAAAAACAACTCATCTTCATCATGAATTTCGTAGGTTGGTTCTATGAATGCGTGTTCTTGACACAATAACAAAATCTATTCTTTAACATCAATTATATATCCAACGATTTGCACTGGTTTAGTTTAAAACATTCACTGCAAACCTTGGTCACTGTTTTCTGGGAATGAGACAGCAGAGATAAACAGAAACTATCTGGAGCATGAACCCAATGGTTATACTGGTGATGCTTGTGGTCAGAACATTGAGTGAAAGCTGGTTCAAGTTTAAATTAATAAGTAAGCCAATCACAATGTCAAAGCTTTCCAATAACAGAGGCAAAAGAAAAATACAATCGCTTTAATTCACAGTACCACAATTCACATCTCAAGTGAATTGCGGCTTAATTGTGTTTTGTAAGACTAACCTTTCTAGTAAAGTTAGCACTTGATGACTGCTATCTAAGCAATGACATGAGAATAACTGAAGCAAGTTACATGTTTATTCTATGAAGTGTAGATGCTGCATTCAAAGAACGGCTCAAATTAATGCCCATAAACCAAATCTGACATTCATCAAACTCTTTTTACTTTAAAACTCCATTAAGTTCCAAGTCTGTGGCAATCAAGAGTTAATAGTCAGTGAGCTGTATCTGGTTGCCTGACTTAGGGTATTAACTGTTGTGCCTGACTAGGTCCAGCTAAGGTGTTCATCAGGGTATATACATTAAAGGAACATATTGATTTAACAAACCATATGGCATTTAAGGAGAGTGGAAAAGGGAATTTGGACTGAGTGGGAAGAAGCTGATCAATAATTTAAGCCAAAGTCAACTGTAAATATAAATAATTTATTGCCATCAATTCCTGTGCCATGGAAACAGCAGGATGCTTCTTCCAGCTGCTCAGGGTTTCTAAGCTTGAGGGTCAGCTGGAGTCACTGTCGGGTATAAGGAAGGCTCTGAATTTCCTGGACTGCATAATCATCTACAATTGTGGAGATCTCAGGAGAATATGTTGTTGACCATATGACAATGTAGCAACCTCCTGGCAGTTTGACGATCACAACATGGTTTTCAGTGTCGAATGCCATTGAGGATGATGTGGCTTGGAGGGGCCACAGGATGGAGCATATCCACAAGTACTGTGGAGAAAATTACTGCTCAGGGGTGTGCACTGCATAGTATAGTAACACAGTAACCACAGGGGATTTGATTCTGGAAGGCACTGGATGGGTATTTCATCAATTCGGATAGTTCAGCTTGGTGTACTGCTTTCCCAGTTTCAGGATAAACTATATCACTGAAAAGTTAGTAAATATTTTGAAGATGAAAGAGAACAGCAAACGGTCATGGACATTGTGGGGAAAACAAAAATCATTTCGGGATAGGGTTGTAGCCCTGAACAGAGTTTCAAGATGTGGGAGAAATTAAAAAAAATAGGATTTCAGTCAGCAATACCTGTATCAGGATTATTCCCAGAACCATGTGCTAGACTATTGGATGAAGCGTCTGATTTGATGGCTGCAGAATTGGTGCAGGAGGGTGGGCTTCAGACCATGAAGCACAGATATCAGTTCTGGGCTTAAGGGGCCTGTTCAAGATGAACAGCTCGTACTTGAACAGAACTGCGACCAATGTCTTTGGAGGGAGGAAACTAATATTGTACGGGAGAATGTAAACTAAATTTGGAGATGGAAGGACGCCAGAATGAAACGTTGGTGAGAAGGCAGAAAGTGTGCAAAGGAGTCAAAGAAACAAACAGGAATAAAGAATAGCTTGGAATGCAGAAGTGGAACACGAATAATTATGCATTAGCGCATGGAGCACAGAATTAATGCAGGTGAGCTATATGTTTAATTGTCACATGGGAGTATGATATAGTGACAACAATCTGGCTCAAAGAGGAGAGGATTAGATCTTTAACATTCCTGGCTACAAAGTATTTAGGAAATATAGGGGAAAAGAGGGGTAGCAATATTAATCAAACTTCCATTGATTATAGCATGACAGGGGGATAATATATAGTACAGAAATCGAAGTCAGATTCTGTTTGGTTAGAATTTCTTAAAAGTAAATCATTTTTAACTAACTGGATTGAATTATTTGATGAAATGATGGCGTGGATGACGACTGTGCATACAGATATTCAAAAGGCATTTGATGAGGTGCCACATAAAAAATGTCTACAAAACTGAAGGCCAGGGGATAAAAAGAGCAGCAGCCTGGATCAAAAACTGGCGAAGTGACAGAAAGCAAAGGATGGTTGTGAATGGTTGTTTTTCAGACTGGGGTGATACTTGATTTTTTTTTTGTCAGAAGAATGATAAGTATAATAATTTTTGAAAGGGTCCAGAAAGATGGAGGTTTGGGGATGTTTGTGCACATATTTTTGAGGGCGACATATTGAGAAACTTGTTTAAATAAAGCATGTTGTATTCTTGGCTTTATTAATACAGGTGAGATTACAAAAGCATGGTCATCATGCTAAATCCCTATAAAACAATGGCCAAGACTTTGCTGGAGTGCTTTTCTCAACTCTGGAGTATAAAACCGGGAAAATTGTGAAGAACTTGGAGAAAGTGCAGAAGAGATTTACAAGAATGGAACGAGAGATGAGGGACTTCAGTTATCTAAAGAGACTGGAGAAAATAATGTCATTCTTATGGCAAAGCAAGTTCAGAGGCTTTCTTAGAGTAACTAAAGAGAAACTCTTCAGTCATGGTAGGAGATGGAGGGAAAATTGTTTCCAGTGAACCATTTTAATGTACTTGTGACCTGCAATGCACCAGGTGCAGTGGAAGCAATCAATAACATCATTCAAAAGAGGAATACAGCAGGCCAGGCAGCATCAGAGGAACAGGGAAGTTGATGTTTCGAGTCGGGACCCTTCTCCAGAAATGGGGAGGGGCAAGGGAGTTGGGAAATAAATAGAGAGGAGGGGTGGGGCTGGGGAAGGTAGGTGGGATGGCGATAGGTGAGTGCAGGTAGAGAGTGGTAGGGAATGGTCAGTGAGGTGGGAGGAGCAGATAGGTGGGAGAGAAGATGGACAGGTTCTCTCAGGTCAAGGAGGCAGGGATGAGAGGGAGGGTTGGTAATGGGATGAGGCTGGGGATGGGGAGATTTTGAAACTGGTGAAATCCACTTTAGGGCCATAGGGCTGTAGGCTCCCGAGGTGGATTATGTGGTGTCGCTTCTCCAGTTTGTGGGTGGTGTCATTGTCACACTGGAGGAGGCCCAGGATGGACAAGTCACCCAGGGAGTGGGAGGGGGAGTTAAAATAGTTCACGATTGGAAGGTGTTGTCATTTGTTGTGAACAGAGCGCAGGTGCTCTGCAAAGCGATCTCCAAGCCACTGCTTGGTCTCACCAATGTCGAGGAGGCCACATCAGGAGCAGCGGATGCAACAGACCACGTTGACGGATGTGCAGGTGATCCTTTGTCTAATGTGGAAGGTTTGTTTTGTGCCTTGAATGGAGGTGAGGGGGGAGGTGTAGGGGCAGGTGTAGCATCTCCTGCGGTTGCAGGGAAAGGTGCCGGAGGTGGTGGAGCCAGTGGGGAATGTGGAGTAGACAAGGGAATCGTGGAGAGAGCAGTCCCTATGAAAGGCAGATAGGGGTGGAGACGGAAATATATCTTTGGTTGTGGGGTCGAATTGTGGATGGCGGAAGTGGTGGAGAATGATATGTCGGATACGGAGGTTGGTGGGGTGATACGTGAGAACAAGGGGGATTCTGTCTTTGTTTTTGTTGGGGGGAGGGGATGTGAGGGCAGAGGTGCAGAAAACGCAAGAGATGCAGTTGAGGGCATTTTCGACCACCAAAGTGGAGAAGTTGCAATTCTTGAAATAGAAGGACATCTTGAATCTGCGGGATTAAAATGCCCCAACTTGGGAGCAGACATAGCAGAGGCGAAGGAATTGGGAGTAGGGGATTGCATTCTTGCGGGAACGTGGGTAAGGGGGGTGGAATTTGGGTAGCTGTGGGATTTGGTGGGCTTGAAATAGATGTTGGTTTCGAGGTGATCACCAGAGATGGAGATAGAGAGGTCCAGGAACGAGCAGGAGGTATTGGAGATGGTCCAGGTGAATCTGAGGTTGGGGTGAAAGTTGTTAGTAAAGTTGATGAACTGTTCAAGCTCCTCATATTCCGCCTTGGGAGTCTACAGCCCAATGGCCTAAATGTGGACTTTACCAGTTTCAAAATCTCCCCACCCCCAGCCTCATCCCATGACCAACCCTCCCTCTCATCCCTGCCTCCTTGACCTGAGACAACCTGTCCATCTTCTCTCCCACCTATCTGCTCCTCCCACCTCACTAACCAATCACCACCACTCTCTACCTGCAATGACCTATCACCATCCCATCTATCTTCCCCAGCCCCACCCCTCCTCTTTCTATTTATTTCCCAGCTCTGTTCCCCTCCCCATTTCTGGAGAAGGGTCCCGAACTGAAACGTCAACTTTCCTGTTCCTCTGATGCTGCCTGGCCTGTTGTGTTCCACCAGCTCTACACTGTGTTACCTCTGACTCCAGCATCTGCAGTTCTTACTATCTCTGAGCATTCAAAAGAGAAATGGATAACTAGCTGAAAGGAAAGAATATAGTTTTGAGAAAAAGGTGGGGAGTGGCAGTTAACTAAATAGCTCTACCAAAAGAGCTAACATATACACAATGGCCTGAATGGCCTATCCATGTCTTGTATTATTCTGTAATGGAGAAAAATCAGATATTTGGCCACTAGAGGTCAGTACATCTTTTTCATTGTTTTCCCGATGTTATCAGTCTGGAAACACTGGGCTGGATTGTCCAGTTCGCCCTCTTTTGGAACAGATTGCCACAGCATTCCATGCTAAAAGTGCTGAAATTTGTTCAAAAATGTGGGTTTTTATCTAAAAGCAATGAGTTGAGAGACATGCTTTGGATGACAGAAAAAAAATTATATCCACTGCATTAGCTGATGGATAGCTTAATGAGCTACCACATCATAAATAACTTTGACTATGAGAATTAAAATTTAATATCTCATTAAGGATTTAGAGGAATATGGACCAAATACTGGCAAATGTGAATAGATTCATTTAGGATTTCTGGTCGGTATGGATGAGTTGGTCCGAAGGATCTGTCTCAATGCTGTACATCTCTATGACTCCATTTTATAATTCCAAAATGTTTAGAATTAATCTATGCGGTTTCCAATAGAATGTAAAACAAAAAAAAACAAGAACTTAGCCGAGGTTTGTTTCAAAAACACGGATTGATTTTTCAGCATCAACAGATCTTACAACTGGTTACTTTAAATGTTGTTCTTTCATAAAATATTTAGAAGCTAACTCATATGTGCAGTACAAAAAAGAAATAATAAGGTGATCGCAAACAGGTATACGTAGAGAAGTGAAGACTACATTAAATTTTAGGAGTTAAGGCCAAGGAAGTCATACATGCCCAGCTCCTAAGTAGCCATTTCTAAATCAGTATAGTAGATCATAGTACAAGTATGGCGTGAGGTGCAATGATTGATATTCCATTACGTATTTTCTAACTCAGATTTAAGCTGATGTGTTACAAGACAAGGCATACTAGTATGTTGAACTGAAAAAGGATAATGCAATAAAATACTGCCATATATAGAATAAGCAGCATTAGAAGGGAGGGATACAGGTATAGTTTAATTCAGAACATCGGGAAGCATATGACCAACAGGCATCACCAGGCTTATTTGCTGTACATTGACAGTAGTTGACTAATCCCCCAATTAAAAGATAAAAGCTATTAATCTCCATTTGATTGCAATCTGTTATTGGATAGGTTTTAGGTTTAAACATGGTCATGGGTCTCTTAAGACTCTCAGCTAAGTGTTGCCATAGCTGAAACAGTTAGTGGATGATTATAATTCCTACAGCAAATTTGATGTGTACCTCCGACCAAGCTCCCACACTCCATGCAGGTGGACAGTTATGAGTATTGCACGCTTGCTTTTGGATTGGCATTGGAAATGGACACAACACATGGTGTACATCCTCTAGCTTGTTGTAAGCGACTCTTCGAGTGCAACGGATTTGTCTTAGCTGTTCACCTCTTCCACACGTTTGGCTACATTCTCCCCAGTCACCAACAGCCCAGCTGTGGAAATATCAAAACAATTCACAAGCTCATATTAAAGTGGAGGATTAAACCTGACAGTTACCAGAAACCTGGAATGCAAGGACATGTCTGTTCTGAACATTATCAGATCCCACATAATGCTGTTTATGAACAGGATGAAGGTCATAAGACGGAATAAATTAAACAAAATTAAATCTGAATGGCTTGTTTTTCAAATACACTTTAGAGTCAGCTTGCCTTTGTTGGATGCAATAGTCTAAACTCAACATAGAATGAAGATTTTATCTTTCTTCAATCTACTTGCCTATCGAAAAGAAATGAACATTCATGCCAGTTTTTCTTTAAAGTTCAAGTGCCAGGAAGATTACAGAGAGACTGCAAATAGATCTTACAATAGTGCAATACAATAAATGAGGGCCACTGTGGCACACTAATCATGCCCCTCTGCTGAGCCAGTAGACTTGGGCTCAAAACCCGCCTGTTCCAGAGGTGTGTAATAACATCTCTGAACAGGTTGAGTAGAAAATAACAACAAACTTTGTTTGAACTGTCACTCTTGATAAACTGGCAAAAATTATATACCTCAAATACTGCAAAGTTTACTGTACTATCCTGTCCAATTATTGTAGCTTTTTATGTACCTCAATGTAAATATACTTGTTGTTCAATTGAAATGACATATGGTGCACATCCTCTAGCTAATATTATACAAATAATCAACAATGATTCAATTTCAAGTCAATTTTTCCTCAAATACTGCAATGTCCTACTAGTCCGTTGAGGGTGCGAGTGTGAAGGCTCTTTGCTGACAGGTTTTAAGGCAAAGTTGCATTATTATTTAAGTGATTTAGGCTGTAAATAAAGTATAACAGAGATGTGTATTACGTTTCCATTACTCAGTGTGTGTTTTTAATTGATTATGTGGACCTCTTGATTATCTGGAATATTTGATGAATCGACACACTCCTGGTCCCAGAGATGCTGGATAATAAACAGCTTACTGTATTTAAAGATTCTGCTTCCAACTAGTTGGAAAGATAGATCAGCTCACATGGATTTTGTTAAAATTTATATGGATAATTTCATAACTATAGCAAGAGTTAATTAACAATTAGTAGAATTTTCTGAGTCAGCGTTCAAATGTCATAATCCAGTTTCAAAAACTACTCCATGAGCAAGGGCATCGTATTTGCTGCTAACTACTTGGTGGAAACCAGGCGTGAGTGCAGTTAAAGATCAGCAAGTTACTTACTTCAATTCTTTACAGCCATTCCTAATTTTACCTTGCAAGATTCTACAGGTGAATGACACTAGCTTCATTAATTTAGACAAATTATGATCACATGCTCCAAATGTTGCCCTCTAGGTGGCTGTGGTGGAGAACAGATTGTTTTCTATCCACTTGAGGAATATATCTTTGCAAAAATAAAGGTCGAGAGAGAGATGCAGTGGTTTTTGTCAAAATTCATTCTGAGGAGCCCTAGCTCTATAGACTGCTCCAAGAGACACAACAGAAATAAATATCAATGTCGGTTGGAGGATCATTGACTCAGTGAATGATGTTCTTTGGTGCCTGAAACTTTCTGGGTTTCCAGGACATAGTTGCCCTTGAATAGAGGTTACAAATTGTCATATTTCAAGGTCTAGGGAGTGCATTTTAAAATGTGCTCTGAAGCTTGGGGAAGTTGCCACAGAGGCACAATGATGAAATACCACTCACAAAAGTCTTTCAGCTATAGAACATTGAGTGGCTGGAAACTGTGTAGAACACCTCAGTGTGTATGCAAGAAATTGGCAAAGTATCATTTCGTCAAGTTTTATGGAACGGGGGAGGGGGAAGGGTGGGGGTGTGTTCTCTCTACAAGCCCCTGCGAATTTTCTCACATTATCGTCTCAAACCTGCCGATGTACCACACCCAATGGCACACTGCTCATCTGATGCTAGGCCATTTCTCCCACTTATCGTAGGAGGAAGAGCCCACCACTGCTGGGACATCACGGGGTTCCTGGTGCTGGTCCCATAGTTAAAAAGCCATTGTGGTACCAGTCAGTTGTAGGTGGTGCAGAGATGCCCTGCACAGTTTGTGACATTTGCCCCAAATGAGGAAGATTAGAGGAAATTGGTGCTCCACTTTGCAGATAAGGACCTGGCAGTTCTGGTGGACAGGGTTATACAGAAAAAAGGCTGATTCTGTTCCCAAGACTGCAGATGAGGCCATGACACCAAACTGTGCCAACCTGGTTCAGCATGGTCTCAACCCTTCAGAGGAATCCCCAGCACTGTAGGAAGAAAGTCTGTGACCTTCTTCACTCTGCCAGAATATAAGTTCGACCATTTCCCCTGCTAACTTACACTCACTATCTCCACTACTGTGCCCAACTTACACCAAGGCTAATGGTCTCATTCTCACCTTTGTCTGTGACATCTTTCCCCAATCACTTTCACCGGCCAAATCCCCCTAACCCTGCTAACCCTGCATGGCCTTTGTGCCTCCTACTCATTCACCTCACCACCGTTCTCCCACCTGAATTAGCAATTACAGCTTTGCTGGCTCCTTAATCTCATTCCACCCTCCATTTGTCTCAATCCAGGAGACTGAGGCCCACATTAGGGCAATAAGTGCTAAGAAAGGTGATGGGATGCCTAACATTTGGCTTCTCACCATTTATGAGGAAAGATCCTGACCCCAACCACTCTAAGTAGCCAACTGACTGTGTAAAGCCACTGGACTGATATCAGACGCTGCCCTTGACTAACTATCAGAATGCCAAGGGTGTATCACTTGCCTTAACTAAGGAATACTCCGCTTGGATCTTGAGACATGGCCATTTGCCTGAAACACAGACAGTGTGTTTGCCGCATTAGCTGTTGATACATGATTCAGGCGTAACACAGCCCCCTTGACTGTTGGTTGCTGTCAAGCATAGCAAGCTGCCCGGCTGTTGTCTTTGCTAAAAACAAGTTAAGTCAAAAGTACTGTACGACTTTAAGCACTGGCTGAAGGGGACAAAATGAAAAAGATAAGGCAAGGCAGACATGCTGTGAGCATTCAAATAGGTGCAAGAGTTAGTAAGCACAGCGTGAGCAAGTGAGGACTCCTGAGATGCACCCTGATCCAATCCATAAGCTGACACCTGTCCTTGCGTACAGCCGCATTGCAATGAGAGGTGCCACTTGCAAATGGACTGTTGAAGTGCAGAACTGTTACTATACTTAGATTTTTGATGGGCGAAAAGAGTGTAGTGAGGATAGTACTTGTCTGATGCCAACATCTGTGGGCTGGGGTGTGCACGGTCACTGTTCTTAGAACATGCCTTGAGATGTTGGTGCTTGGTGTCCAAGACGGAGGTGCAGAGGAGTGAGATGCAATCACCAGGAAAACATTCAGACTTTCATGTCAGAAACTGTTACTGTTTAGTTTCCAACTGGCAGGTGGAAGAGTTGGAAACTCCATATAAAAATGGCAACATTAACTAATAACAGCTGGTCATGCTTGCTAATGCATGCAAACAGGCTTCTTGCCAGTCATTGGTGAGATCCTTGTCTTGCCATTCACCACTTGGATGGAAAATGGGCCTTATTGCTCTGGACGTTGGGAGAGTAGACTGGCAGCATTTCATTTTGAATAACCAGTTAATTTATTTAATTCTTAAACCCTGCCATACTGTTCCTTCCTTCTGTTTAAAAATCCTACAAGAGTTAATATAATGCTTTACGTAATGTCTTTTAGATATTTTCTAATCAACCTGTTCAGAGATACTGTGATGCAGCTCTGGAGCAGGTGCAACTTCAATCTAACACTATACCACCGCACGTCCCCAAGACTATCACGTTACACCGACTCCAAAGGCTTCAGATCTCAACACTACTTTGTTACTGGTGGCAGCATCAATTCAGATTTTTTTTCAATAACCTGTTCAGAGATGTTATTACACACCTCTGGAGCAGTTGGGACCTGAGCCCAGGTCATCCCTGGCTCAGAGGCAGGAACACTATCACTGCACACAAGAAACGTTGGGAGGATCACTTCATTTTTTTTAATCATTGTCAGACGTGCTCAGCTGGTTCATGGTTGGCCAGTACCTCATTCTCAATTGTTTTTTTACAGAGATTTCAGTGGCAGTTTAACACTGCCATTCACTCTCAGGACAGGATGAGGAAACAAGGTCCAAATCTAACTCAACCAGAATAGAAACTGAACCCACAAAGTTGATGTTATTCTGAGCCACATGCCAGATTCCAGCCCACTGAACTAACCAGGGCCAGTCTAGTATTTAATCTAATCGTTCTAACATCTATCAGATGGGCACACAATCTGGTTGTTGAAGTTTAATTAGGAACATTCAACACAGAACCAATGGATTATCTTGATAAGAATTTCTACCAGCCCTATTTTAAACTAAATTTGTACAACACCACTCATAAATCAAGCCAGCGACAACCTACTGCAATCATCTGTATGTAATATTCTAGAGTCAATTGACTTTATAAATCCCCAATTTATGACACTGCTCGCTGAATTTATTTGAATGTGACATGTGCCTCCCATGTTCTAAAACGAAACATTGTGACTGAAAGTACTTTCATGAAGATATGTCTCAAAAGCGTTAAATTGTAAAAGAAGTAATTTGTTCTTTTATGACATATAGTGACAGATGGCTACAGGAAGTCAAAATTTGATAATGCACTCAATAGAAAGTTGGACTTGTTTGTGTCATAAAAAACAGAATTGTTGATGTCTCAACCTTGCCTCTCACCCTAAAATCACCACCAGTCATCTCTCTCTCTCTCTCTCTCTCTATAATGAGGAAGCAGTCATATGGTCTTCTGGGACTATGGCAACTTTACCTTTACCTTTAGTTGAAATTGTGGCTACAGAATCAATCTATCACACGTTATCTGAAACAATAATATTGACAGTGGTAAGCCACAGGCTCAGACATACTATTTGGCCTCTAACCCCATCAATGTCTGAACCATGAGTCAGATACCCCATGGTCTGCTGTGTGATCTAAATGAGTACTGGATAAGACCATTTATCTTGGCAGAAACTAATGTTCCTGTATTTATTTCCAAGTGCCATAATGGAGGTTTATAAAGCCTATACTTGCTTTTTAAAGCCAATGATTGGTCATTTTTGTATAAGCTTTATCTTAACCCACTGAGTGCTTGGAGATGGCGTTGGTGAGTGGAAGTACAAGGACATTGATCTTCCATCTATTTGGTTAGATAATCCCTCTCGTTTCTTACCAATTCTATGGTGTTACTACAATATGAGAATGATGTAGGATTTAACAAAAATTATAATAACAATGCAATTTTAAAACGTTGCAGTTCAATAATTAGTATCTCAAACATACATTTATCTTAATATAGACATCAAGTAGAAGCAGGATCTGTGAAAATAAAACTTCAGCGGTCTATTGCGTAAGCGTTTCACACAGCAATTGAAAAATTGAGCAGTGAAATTTGACGGGGTCTTTAGTTCACACACTAGTTACACATCTGGAGTGCATATTGGTGTGTTTCCATACTATATTTCCATGTATACATCCATATACCCAGACTATATTGACAATACCACACCACATACCCAATTAACCCACCTTGTTCCCTCAGTGGAGATGAAAATTCGCATGCTAAATTCTAATGGATGGAAAATCGCTGATCGAAGATGTGAAATTTCCGGCTGTGCACTGCACTCCGGGCAATAATCAGCCACTGGAAAGTAGAAATTCACCTTCTTATACAGCACTGCAATAGGAACAGCCTATGGACTGGGTCACACTCTAGCTACTCCATGGGAATGTCTGAGCCTAGCCGATGGTGCTTGCAAATAATCAGGCTAATTCTAACAGTAAGCGTAATAAACATTTCTCTGTTTACTCCTTGAAGGCATCAGCACCATGTGGATTGGTAGCTCAAGCAGCCACTCTAGTTATAAATTTACAACCAATACATTTGCAGTAAAAAAAAACAGAAATAGACCCAATTAACATGGACATGTATTATATTCGCAGGAGGGAGGAGCCCAACACGGAAGTATGTGGGTCACCAACTTCTACTCCTGCCTTTTGAAGATGCCTGACTGAGCATCTGGCAGCCAGTGCACAGCAGCCTGTTAGGTACCTGGCCACCAGCAGACAGTAAAGGTGGGCAGAGGGGCAGGAAGGTGGGATGTCTAGGAACACAGGGGGACAGGCCGTATACCGAAGGTTAGTCACGCCCATCTGTTTAAGCAATGCTGGCATGAGTCTGTGGCAGCAAAGTGGATGCCCTGGAGAATGAAGGGTGAAGATTAAAAACTTATGCTGAATGATTCAGTGAATCATTCAATACCCCTGTCAGGGAGGAAAGAATATTTGAATATACCAGTCAGATGTTTCCTCATGAACATTAAGTGTTTAGGAAAAGGCTCAAACTGTACGCTTTAACTATCTTTGTCACTCTACTGTTGGAGGAGACAAATATAGCCAAAGCTGTCGAGGGGCATAGAACATGGGTGACCCCACAGTTTGACGATGATTCTGTGAGTCCTCCAGACTGAGAGTAATCAGTAACAGGTCCTACAATGGGAACAGGAGATCTCTGCACCAGAAAAAAGCAGCCTGAATGGAGGTCTCAGAGGTATCATCCATTGTGGGATTATCCAGACAACCTGGATACAGTACCGTAAGAGGTTCAATGAATTCTTATAATGTGCCAGGATGAGTGTTCAATCATTTTGGAGATGGAACAATGTGCAACTTTGCAAAGATGTGAGGTAGGATTGCCTAGTGTCTTGCACAAGTTGGCATGAAGCAGAGATGTCACCCCAAAAAACAATGAGGAGGGGGAGGCTTATGAATGCAACACTTACAAATTGGGAAGGATCTTTGAGAAATGTTAATTGCCAACAAAGGGTGTACTTGGCACATAACTGTATTTGCTAGACAGCATATACACTACAGTGACACTTTTTACTTGCGCGAGAAGAAGTATACACTGCTCGTAAGAAGGCCAAGTCCAGAGGTGATCAACCCAACATGACCATTTCTACCCATAACAGGGGTGATGGTGCAGGGACTCTTTGGAAAACAATAGAATAGCACCACTTGGCAAGGTTGGAGGAAGGTCAAAGGGGTGACATTCCAGGGCCACATAGCTCTCTCCCACAAACAGTGCTGTAAGAAGCAGGGTGCTTGTGGGTGTTGGTGTTAGAAACTTTGGAAGCTGGAGAGAAAGTAGATTGGTGCCTTTGACTTTAAGGGGCTTGCGGAGGTCGGGGATGAATGTGTGTCTCAATGTTGAAAGGTCCAAGGTTCAAACCCTGATTACCGTCTCCCAATGATACCTGTGTGTGTTTTTAAGATGTGTATCTCTGAACTCACCTCAAATGTTTTTCTTGATTGCTTCCCCTATAAACATCAGTAGCTGCAGCCACTTGCTCAGAGGGTCCACAATAACCTCTGAGTAGATTCAGAGGGTAAAGCATCACACCCTTGCTCTCCAGCTCGCACTAATACAGATACGTGTACACAACAGGTATGCACATGTCAGTTCTAAGGACTCCACATCTATGGAGTGGCAAGCCCAACTGTTGGAGATTGAAATAGAGCAGGCTTCCGGCATTTGGAGAAGAGGTGGAGGCTTCAGAAGATGTACATTCCTTCACTGAGAGACTGATGACTGCTATTGAGGCCCAAAACCAGCTGTTCACTGATGGGATGTGGGTTTGCGTTCTGACCTACATTCCATCATCTTACAGCCAAATTGCTTGCACCTTAGGTAGTAATCTAGAGATTATTACCTGTGCAGTCCTTCTTTATAAACCTTACTCCTGTCTGCTCATATTTATTTAGCAGATCCTCTTTCTTGATTTTACCTATGTCATTCATACTTAGGTAGGTCACAAAAACTCCACTCCAATCCAAGTTCCTCTCCAGCTGCCAACAGATATCCTTATCGCTCGCAGGGGGCAAGCAACACAGTCTTCAGGATTCATGCTCTGGCCTGCAGACAATAGTACCTATACCAATTATATTTTCAACTGGATGTCCTACTACAATCTTCTTTACTCAATACAGTGGGTTCAATAATTACACATTGTATTCTCTATCTCCACATTGTTTCCTTTTATTTCACCGGTTTTGATTTTAGGTTCACAATTGTTTCTCTCTTTTTCCATGTTTGTGTTTTTGGATTTCAGCATTCATGATTCTACATGTCATACTTCTTTTAAAATTTGTCTATTTAACACTCCCTTTGCCCTAGCACCATTCATTTAACCTCTCATGCTTTCTAACCTACAAGAGGTCTTTTCTGTTCATTTTCTCCCTTGTATGATTAAAGACTAGGTCTCACCAAAGGCAGGCAGGGTTATTAAAATAGTATGGAAATATGCTGACTCCATGAGCATTGAGGCTATTGTAACTAACATTCAGCTTTATCGGCAGAAAGTTTTAAGATTAATGGCTAATGATCGCAAAAAATGATCACAAAAAACTGGTGAATCTTGATAGAAAGCAGTTAGGGCCATAAAGGTTATAAAGTGGTCCCATTTAGATATACTTGAAGCAGTGAAACATGGCTGTTCACTCTTGGGAAACCTTGTACACCAAGAGATGGCATGATGTAAGAGATGGTCAACATTGGAAATATCAGTAAGTGATCCCACAGGAATTTGCTTATCCATCACATAGCAATCTGCATGGATATCAATTCAATTATCTAACGTGAATATACAATTCTAGCTCAGGTATTCTCAAGTATGACGGACTACCACTGTTTGCGATATTTAGGAAAGCTAAACCAGGGTGGTATTGTAATTGTAGTTTTAACTATAACAATGTCAAAATTTCCTAAGTATTAGAATAACCAATCAAAATTGATCGCCTGTAGTTGTTTTGGGGGTCATGAGGTTCCATAAGAGTATTTCACACAGACTGACTGAATCACAATTGTTAAGTAAAAAACAAGCACACCCAATTTTTTAAAAAATACACTTGCAGCACTAAGAGTTCTTATTTATATAAACTGATGAAGTGTGTTGTGTTAAGGAACTGAGATTTCATCAAAGTGCTGCTTCATACCTGATAATCACTTCCATTTACACTTCGTAGCTATGTTTGCACAAATGTTTGTAGTGCAAATGAATGAACTCACTTTGGGCCTCCAGTGGACATTGGTAGGTTCCATTCTGTCATTCTATATCCACTACCCATCTCGTGGTAGTGCAGCCGGTAAGCTGCTGACAGCTGGCTGGCTCACAACTCAACAGAGAATGGAAGTAAAGAACTCATAGACTGTAACTCAAACCATTACTGAGACAGCCAGAAAAACATCTGTCAGCACTTGAGCACATTACCTTCACAGTTATTAAGTAGATCTATTCTCTCACAATTATAAATAGTGCTTATTAACTTGAAAATGTTATAACCTCGTCAGTAAAACACTTTCAGCATTTCCTCTTCAGGACGTAAACATTATCTTTATTACGGAGTTAAATATAAGAATCATAGCTTCGGAAGCAAATGTTCTTTTTTGCTGACTTAATATACAAGATCTGGCTCACAGCCAAAGATCACCAACCACATAGATTAACGGTCAAAGCTATCAGTTGCAGTAAATGGCATTTACTGGACAGTTTAAGCAATGTTTTAATGCCAATGCACATCACTAATAAGGCAAACCTTCAGAGTGATGTCACCTCCTATAAAGATATCTCCTTTTTATATCTGCACTGTTTACCGACATTGCAGTTAGACTGTCTGCTGATGTCTGCTCTGCTCTCATGCAAGAGTACACAAAAATCTCCATAGCTCTGGAAAGAGTAGAATTATTATATGTGTACAACACAGAATGAGACAATGTAAACATGGACACAACACAAAAAGTTCATTACCAATATTAGTGTTCCCTTGATTGATCGCATTACGTACAGTACTATAATGAAATGCAAGTCAGCAAAATAAATCCCGCCCCCCCAAAAAACATCATACCACAGCTATAAACAGTGTTTATTTGGCAATGAATACAGTCCATGGGAATGTTTACCCAACTTTTCTGATTTAGACTGTCGGTGTTTGTTTCTAAATGGAGACAGGGACTCGACTGTTCCAGCCCACTTTAAACTATGTCGAAGCGACTCAGTGATGGTGTATCACAAAGAGAATGATGTGCATTGCATAATAAAATAAAGCAATGAAGGAGAACCTATTGAGAACCCAATGTGCACAATATTCCTGATTTGCTGATAGTAAAAGTGAAATTTGGCTAGCCCACTGCAAGGGTTCAACTGTCCTGGCAGCTCAGAGGGTGGTCCATCTTAAATTTTCAGGCAGAAGACTCTGTTTCTAATATAAATAGACACAGAGAATGCTCGCCCATAAACTTTAGACTATATCACAGTAAGTTGGAGATATGAAGTCCGGTGAATCAGAAACAGTTAAGAGGCAACAACTCTTTGAATATCACTTGTGGTGTTGACAGAAAAGTTGACAAGTTGGTCACAATCATTCACGTCGAAACCTGGAAATTCATGACTCATTAGTTGACTTTGCTACAGGGAAGTTATCAGATGAGAAAACTGGAGACAGGTAATGTAATAACCGTGAAAGGTGCTCATTCGGAAGTCCCAACATGGCTCTGGAAAAGAAGGACCTGTCTCACAATACACTGTGGTTATGAGATGTTCAGTTGATGCCATGTATCTTGATTTTTAAAAAAAAACAGCCTGTGACAAATTGCTTCCAAAAGAGATGACAAAATAAGCTTGGTTCCCATGGAATCAGTGGTCAGATTTTGGGTTAAAGAAGAAACTTGTTGCATTTTCATTGAAAGAAAATAATCATTAACAGTTATGTACGTCTCTGTTCAAAGTGACCACTTGTAGAAGTTGTTGGCGAGTGGTGTTTGGGACATTGGATTTCACCATCTTCATCATTGTCAAAGCATTGGGGGAACTGCCTGCAAGTTCACGGATGGTACATAGATATTGTAGACTGTAAGAGCTATAGCTAAGATAGTGAGATTGCAGGCAGATCTATTATGTGATATAGGAATAAGCAGATGTTATTTTTAAAAATAGATTAATATAGCACTATGGTAGGAGGCTGGGCATCAGCAAGCTGATGGAGAGCTTCAACACTCAAAGCATTCTAAGTATTGACACCCTTTCTTTGAATTTATCAATGTACCTCTTACTCTACTAGTATGAACCCAAGTTCCCTTGTCTGAAATAAAACATTTA